ATAAACCGATTGGGATAGAATGTTTAAAGAGAAGATGGCTGTAAAGGAAGAAAAGTGTGTAGAAAGAAAAAGAGACATTAGAACTATGGTACAAGAAGCGATTGCACCAATCTATTTTGGACACACAATTCTGGTTTTCTCAGGTGTATGGGTATTTCGTCGGCAATGTTAAGAAGATGCAATATAATTGACCTTGGAAGACTTCTACTTACCTTGTAGATGACTTTAAACGTAGTGTCCGCCTTGATTGAGTGACCTGTGTTCACAAAGTGTTCGATTATTGAACTTTTTATTGAACCATTTCCTCCTCTTCTTAGCTACAACGGGTAATGTTCTTGAATTCTTTTCGATAAAGTACGCATCGACCGACTTATATACCTGGTTCCACATGAGCAGATGAATTGTTTAGAATGCATTTTATGATGATGATAATTATGAAAAGTAGACAATCTACAAGTGGATAAGAATTAAAAAGGGAATATTAAGTATTTTCTATCTTGAATGATAATAAATGAATGGCAATATGAACTTATTCAATCCATTCAATTTTTATTTTACCAATGAACAGTTATGTAAATATACATTCTCTTTAACACACAGTTATAACTACAGACTGTATGGAGTTATCAGATAATTAGAAATTTATTTGTATTTTTAATACAGTTTACATCATTTTTATAAACATAAATTTAAAGAGAAGTTAGTTAGATTCACTTGGTATTGTTTGGCTTGTATCTACCCATTGAGGTTTAAGACTGCAATTGATCAGTCTGTTATTGGCATATGTGCATACTGTGCGTATCCCTCGATATTGCCTTGATTCACAAGCTTTTTGTAAGCAATGATGGATGGTGGCTGGCAGTGGAATCCAGGACGTGCGTTTCGTCCTATTTGGCACTGGTCAGCTAGATGTGCCTGCATCTCAGTGTTGATGTTCACTCCAGTACTTGAACCCAGTTTTGTTCCCTTCAAAAGATATCGCGTTACCCAATTCACTGCTGAGTCCGGATAGCGACTAGCTTCTGTAATACCACATAGCGAATATTAAAACATTTTGTTTTTTATGTGTCATAAACAGATGACTGAAATTAAGTAAAGTAGGATAATAATGATGATGATGATGATTATTATGATAGCAGTAATGCTCTGATAATAATGATAACGCAATAAATATTCCACTTGACAAACCAATTTACGATTTATGTTGATTTTATAATCTTTGAAAATAAATAAATGACTTTATTTTTCATCCCTATCTTTAATAACTTAAGTATCAAAGGAAATGATAATTTTAACCATATCTATGTTTTCCATGAGAGATGATGAGATAAGTAGAAAAAACAAACACTGATGAAGGGATTTTTATGAAAAAGAGAATATTTCATGCGTATAACTAAGTTATTCATTTATAATAGAGGATATGAAATCATATTAAACTGAGTCGTGGTAAACATCCTATCATTTAGACCGAAAGTAACTACAGTGAAACAAATCGTTTGTAGTTTACTTCATTAAGAAACAGAATAGAAACTTTTTTCCAAGATGTTGATTATAGTCCCGTAAGACAATGTATTAATAAGCTATTGTTCAAAATATTTTCTTTAAGTACAAGTTATAGGATTTATAAACCCTGTTACCCCCTGAATGTAATGTGATTACCTAATTTGCTAAATCACTTCATACTGCTTGTAATTTGTTTAAAGTAGTGACATGTTGAAAAGCACTTCGGATGTAAATGTTCTAAAATATGATACTTTTATTGTGTCGTTCAATAAAAGTTAAATAAATTTTGAAATAGAAGGTAAATTCTAGATGTTTCCTTTTTAATATAGCAGTAAAAATAATTAACGGCTGATAGAATCAACCGACAGAAGCTAACAAATTGTAATATGGAGATAATATGTACTCCTCGATTATGTGTATTCTTAAGTTATTCTATTCAATTGTTGTACATATCAACCGTGATTATTGAGAAACATATGGCATAATTGAAATTTCTATTATCATATTTTTTTGAAAACTTTTTTTGTTTACTCTACGGAGACCTTAAAAAAATATAAATAATAGAAAATGATACAACATTTGTCTATTTAATAATCTGAAACCTAACACAGTGAAACGGGTATGTTTTGATGGTTACAAATACTGACACAAACATTTGTACAACATCAGTGAACGACAATAATATAAAGAAGACCGATATATAGTTAGATAAATGGTGATCAGGAGGCTTTGAAGTTCATCAAACAGACTGAAACATAATCGTTTGTGACTAACGTTGAGTAATGAGCTCAGTTCATTATGTTACTTCATTTTTTATTTACACAGCAGATTAGATTTTTATCACAATCTGTTTTCTAATAGTTTGGCACAGATTCCCATATTTCTCTGAAATCATTTCAAATGATCTCCATCACGTTCACTGTAACATAAATTTCTCAATAATCTGATTAGCTACATTTATCGCTACTGATACAGTACGACTGATATTTGAAAATAAAGTGAAATTTATTTTAGTAAATTTCAAATTACTTACTTGCTTACTTACGCCTGTTACTCCTCGTGAAGGAGTATAGGCCGCTCACCAGCATTCTCCATACAACCCTGTCATGGGCAATCCTTTCCAGCTACTTCCAGTTGTTATTCATCCTTTTCATATCTGATTCTATTTCCCGACGTAATGTGTTCTTTGGCCTCCCGCTTTTCCGTTTCCCTTCAAGATTCCATGTTAGGGCTTGCCTCGTGATGCAGTTTGACGATTTGCGTAGTGTATGTCTTATCCATTTTCATCATCTTTTCCTAATTTCTTCTTCAGCTGGAAGCTGGTTTGTTCTCTTCCACTGTAGGCTGTTGCTGATGGTATCCGGTCAATGGATGTTAAGTATCTTGCGTAGACAGCTATTTATAAATACTTGTACGTTCTTGATGGTGGTTGTTGTAGTTCTCCAAGTTTCAGCTTTGTACAATTGAACTGCCTTGACGTTGGCATTAGTAGTTCTAAAATATGTTCTCATTTTATTGTTTACTTCAACATCAAAGTATAGGGTAGATGGGAATCATTGTTCTAATTTCTAATATTCTTTATTTATGATGATTCCATCATATCAAACCATAAATATTTCAACAAAGAACGTACATTTTAACAATTTAGCAATTATAAATTCAAATTAATGATCAAAAGGAACGGGAAATTTATCTTTCAAATTACAATATATGAATTCAGAATTGTTTGTACTATTAAATAACTAGTGTTTTTAGATGTTGTATTGTACAGTTAATACTGTTTTATAGTCTAATTTAAAGTAATTAAACATAATATAAATTAGGAGAAATTATGATACCGCCATTTATCCCATTGTTTGTTCGCATAAAGATTATGTAATTCTGGAAATGTTTTAAATTAAGTAAGAAAGAGTGAAATGAGATAAGGATTTAATAAACTATTTAAACATACAATTAAAAAATAGTGAAAGTTATGAAAACATTTAAGGGTTTTATTGAAATGTGTTAGCATTCGGAAGAATATTGGGAAATACAAGATAATGATTTGAATATACTTGTTTTGAATTCACTGCTTTGTATTGTGAATCATAATCATTACCATGCTAATATAAATGAAATCAGGTAAAGCGCTTTGATTTTTATTTAAAAAGAACGTTTAAATATTCTCAAAGATATTGTAATAGTTAAGAAAGAGCTTCTAAATGAACACTGATTTGCAGACATGGTCTGTGATAGAATTTATTTTTTAAAGCAATGAAACAAGCAAACACTCGTATTATGGGCAGCAAATACTTACCATCACATTACTGAGAAATAAAACTTCATAAAAGAAACCCATTTTTATTTACTTATACATAATGTGTTTGAGACCACTGAGTGGCATCAGAGTCCCAATCTTCAACATCTAATCGATTCAAACCACTTCACTTATCCATAGGTTCATTTTGAGCTTGTTCGTATAATTTAACCAAATCTATCTAGATTTCCTAATATCCTACTCCTCAAAACAACAGAAGCTCTTATCATCCACGAGACCAAAACAGAACTGTGTGTTCAAAACAAGTTCGTCATATCTTTATCGTTACCAAGACCTTGAACTATTATTATTATAATGTTTCGTAATTGAAAATATCCAATTATTTCCCATATAGCCATGATTTCATTCATAATTGTCTTCGATGTCACTTCATTTCATCTGATCACTATATTATCTTTAAAGTATCAGAACAACATTGTTTTAATTATTTATTATTATTGTTTTAAAATATCTTCATTTACATTATAAATCGTTGTTGACTTATAAAATTTACAAAACTTTCCATTTGTATAAACACGATGTTTTATTGCTATCATCTACATTACACCATGTAGTAATATAATATTTCTATTACGCCATCATGTCCTTTCGGAATCGCTACTTAAAGAATTTTCAGATATGTATATACAACTGTACATCTTGATAATAAATCCGTTGAAAAGTGATTCCTTCGCTGGACTTTTTCTATGTATTTAAATGGGAACTATTTCTTTTTTTTCTGTATAATCTTATTCGAAAATTACCACAAATCAAATGAAGGTGATTTCATAACTTTTGATGCTTAGTATTTTGTAAAACTGTTTCTTTCTAAAACTGATGTAATGGAGAATTATTTATTTCAATATTTTTATAAAGTTATTCATTCGCAGATTGACATAACATTGACGTCCAATCAACCAATCAGAATGCAGATCAAGCCAACCAATGAAAATAAACTTTATACTGTTGTATTTTAAGTGAAATTCAATTAAATATCATTCCATCTTTTGGAAAGTTTTCAGTTCTCATATGCATAAAGTATTCGTCTACATTATTCATTAGAATACACACAGTTAAATAAAAGTCCTATCTCTTATTTAAAATAAAAAAGTCAGTGTTCGGATATATTGGTTCATTCAAAGATTCTGAGTAAATTTGCAGCGTAATACTGTGACTACATAAAAGTGATGGTCAAATAAATATGTGGGTAAATGTTATATCGAAGAGATTTATTAAAATGGAATTTAACATTTACATTATATCAACAATTATATGTAATCTAATTTTTGTACAACCAAATATGACACCAAATGAGTAAGTTGACTTGTATGCATTAATGAATTATATTCATATTTCCCAAAGATATTTTTTCCAAGTTTTATATTGAGTAACATAGTCTTTAAAGTCGATACAGTTCATTTTATAATCAAAGTACTGAATTTGTTCACATAGAAACTGATTCAAATGAAAATTTAATTTTTTAGAACTCGTTTGCATGTAATTCAAATAGGTTGAATTTCCTACCTTAAATCATTCAAAATTTTAAAAGTCTTCATGATTTTGATCTTTTAAGCTTCCATCTAATATTTTAATTGACATTTTAAATAATACTTAGATTATTATTGTTCATATCAGATCGATTTATGAACGTTTTAGGCATTCATTTTCTCAACTAGTTATCCGAATAGTAAATGAAATGTTTCACAAATTTTTACTTGACCAAGATTTCATTTGCATTATTATTTAAGGAATAGTGCTTTGGTTTTATCAAGGAAAAATATTTATAATAACCTACACCATCTATAAAGATTGGCTGTTTTTACATTTGTTTCTAAAATACCCACTTGTTGTCAAGGTATCTTCATATTTTGGTTCTTATATTATTCATAATATTGTTACTTAAATAATGTAAATAAAATTTGTTCTTAGTATAAAACTGTTCATGATTTTTTACTATATGAGCATACTATATATAAACAGCATTCCAGTACTATTGAGCAAAACATGCTTACAACTAAGGGTATAATATTATTACTTCATTCAATGAACGTAAGATAATTGCTATACATGAAAAAGTAACCAATAGTTTCACAAATATGATCATTGAAGCGACTAAAGGATCTAAGTATGATTGTTTTAAGTGACTATGTACATTTAGAATGAAAACAACAACAACAATAAAGACTTGATTTTTACATGTACACAGTAATCAAGTTTTTTATTGCCAAATAAAAATTAATTGAATAACTTGAGAATCTATGCAAACAATTCACTGAATCATAACGCCACAAAATCTTATTCTTTCTATGTGATGTAAAATGTTTCTCTCCTCTTTGTTACCTTTCTTACCTGAACTTTCATTTAGTTGACACTGATTAATTTTCATAGAAAAATACCCTGAGAATTATATGCATAATCAGATTGTCGGAATGTATATCTCAAATACATCACATTTTTTCAGATCATCTCCGTTTTCTCATAGTTCTATCGAAATCTATAAAATGGACTGTTTTAAAATATTTATATTTACAATTTATTAAATTTATTGTGTTCAAACAACTTTGAGAATAACTAATCACAGATTAGTATAGCAAGTATATTTGTTGTTGTTTATGAGCATTTTATATTTGATTTTCTAGTGTGATACTAAATCTACATTTGATCCAAAATTGTTTTTAGGAACATATGAATAACAAATCAATGGGATACATAAGTGTGTAATGTGTGTGATGTAAGCTGCTATGTTACCATATCAAAAAATAACCCCTGAAATTAATAGTGTTCTTCAAAATATATGTCTATAATGAATACAATTAAAGTAAACAAAGAAAGTGATTCATAGTTAATATGGAGTTGTCGGTTTCATACCATAAGATTTTACTTATTATCATTACTCTGTATTATAGATGAAATATTCATTTTGAAAGTAAATAGTAGTACTAATTTTCTTTAGAAAAATTAAAGTTTATTTATATTATTGTAACTAAGCAGTGGATCTCTTTTAATTTGTCATGGTATATCTGTAGTGAATGAACATTCAGGTGGGGAAAATCAACTTATAGCTTATTTATAAGGTATAGAAATCATACATTAAAAATTTTATCTGAACATCATTCATCAGTTGTCGTTTAAATTCTTTATGATACTTACAGTTCTGTTTTTACTTTAATTCCGCTGTGTTTCTTTTTTCGATTCTCTTCAATTCGATCTTCTCACTCCTCTTCTGATGGGGATTTCGCTTCTGATTTGTGTTACCTACTACTTATATCTATCAACATAAGTAGCATACACCACATATTTACATTATTCAGTTTGTTTAGTATAGTCAAATTATGATTGTAATAATTCGTAAAAAGTAAATTAAATTAGACATGATTTAGTCCGAACAAAGATATATGAATCATTGTCAAGTGTTATAATTAGGTATATATATATATATATATATATATATATATATATATATAGCGTTATAAGCAACAAGAATACCAACAGTTGTATGTCAATATTCAATCATAACTTTATTTGATGTTGTAAATCAATACAATGAAAAAAGAGCTGAATAAATGAAAAAAAAAGAATACAAATGTTCAAAATACAAAGACATGATAAATGATCATTTATGGATAAGTAAACATTTCACCTATGGGAAATTTACACTAAAAAATCACTTAAATATACAATCTCGAGGTGTTAACAAGATAAAAATGGATAGTGGCTAGCACTGGAATCCAGGACGCGCGTTCGGTCCTATATGGGACTTGTCAGCTGGATGTGCCTGCATTGCGGAGTTGGCGTTCACTTCAGGACTTGAACCCAGTGCCGTTCGCTTCAAACACTATCACCTTATCCACTTAACTACGGATTTTTGATAGCCACTTGCTTATGAAACAGGCGGGAGTTTAAATTCTCTTGGTATCGTTCACTCGAGTCTTCCAAAAGGACGAAACGCACATCCTGGATTCCACATGTAGCCACTATCCATCTTTGTTTATAATGCTTTTGAATTAAGGCAGCATCGTGGCAACACGCACGGTATGCACATATGCCAATAAGAGACTGATCAATTGCAGTCCTAAACATCAATGAGAAGATTCAAACAAATAATACCAAGTGAATTTATGCTAACAATATAATTTTCACTGAAATAAGCCCAAAAATTAATTGATTTTTTTCATGTACGAAAGATGATTTTAGTAAGACTCTAAATTCGTGTTGCCATAGAATTGTGAACTTCGTCTGCCACTAATGTTAAATAGAAAACTAACAATTTTATTTCAGTTCTTATGCGACATTGTTGGACATTAGAATCTGAAGTTCAATCTTTAGACTCTCTCTTTAACTGACAATATGTATGACTTACATATATGTGTATGTTTATACATATATTATCAGAATAACTTTTGAAGAACTCAAAACAGTTATTCTCTTCAATGCAACGAGAAAACAAAGTTTTCCGAAATCGACTCAATCTTAACTCAACCTTTTGTGGTTTTGTGTAAGAGTTATTTAGGATGAGCACTTTACTTTTGTTGATGCCTTGTCCACATAAAAATCAAAATCTCCTTTTGTCTGTTATGTAAATGAATAACTGTCAGTTACATAATGCCAACTAAACTTCTAATTTCTTTCATTTTCTCAACCTATAAACTTCATTTTATAAGAAAGATGATTTGAATAATTATAATAAACTGCTTTGAAATTTGTTCATCTCGATTATTCCCAAATAAGCGTCAATTTTTCACTATAGAAAAGAACATCTACTAGGTTTTCTTAAGAATTTACATGTTTAAAACAATTAGTCTCTTTGATAAACTTCGATAATGCAGTGAGAAGACGAAGTTTATCAACATAATTCTGATAAACTTCGTCTTCTCATTGCATTATAGGAATTTACATATTCCTATCAATAATATAACCTTATTTTTCATACAGACTCAACCAAAAATCTACAACCGTTAGGTAAGTAATTCTAGACTACTTATTCGTCTATGTTATTTGATTTTATACTTGATCATTAAAGGAATAATAGAATCTGAAGAATCAACATTTGTAATAAACTTTCCACTTCAAAAGCATTTTATCTGCAGGAAGTAATAATTTATTTATGCCGGCTCAGTGGTCTAGTTGGTTAAGCGCCTGGTGCGAGACTGATAGGTCCTGGGTTCGAATCTCGTGGGGTGAGGGATCGTGGATGCGCACTGCTGAGGGGTCCCATACTAGGATGAAACAGTCATCCAGTGCTTCCAGCTTCTCCATGATGATCTAGCTTCGATTGACTCATGATTCCAATCAGTGAAATTTCTAAAATCACAAACCTAATTCCAATAATTTTTTTGTTTAAAAGTATCACTATGATGTAGTATGTACATTAAAAACGTCCATCGTTATGTAATTTCAATGAAATATATTTTATGTAAGAACTAAATAATAAATGATTGTTCATTATAATATTTTTTTCAATAAAAATAATCAAGTACATTAAGTACATTACTCAATGGTTAAATGTTATAAAAGTATGAAGTGACTAAAGTTCACTACCGTTAAATACCTCTCTATTTACTCCAGTTTGAAATTAAATTAAATTTTACGTATCCTATTGTTAGATTAGAATGTTAATAATACAAATTTTAAAATACGGGACTGATATTTATAATAGTATATTACTGAAAATAGAATTTATTAGTCGACAGTGTCAAATTAGACATGACAATTATAATAGATGAAATGAATAGATTAATTTATGGTCAAAATCGACAGTTTGTATGGCTTTTATACGGAATTTAACAATATTGCACTACATTCAGTTTTTAAGGTTAATGTAAAAATGAGCAAATTTCTGCCGTATAACCACTGAGCGAATTTTCTCCAAGTTGAAAATTGGTTCTTTTGTTTGGATTTTAAAGTTGTGTATTTTGATCAATCCTAACAAAGATACCAGAAGTTATATGTAGTTCAGGTAGAATGCTACTTAACCATTTAATTAGCCGTCTTCACATAAAGTGTTTTGATTTGACACTGAGTGGATAGAATTCCATCATGGAAAAACTTGTTATTCATGTTAATACTTTTTTTTATTTGTTACAACTATATTACTTTTGTTTCATAAATTCTATCGTAAAAGACGTTCCTTTCAGATTAGCTGGAAAGCTGTTGAAAGTCGTCAGCATACTTTAGTCTACTCGGTGGAAATTTACTATTAACTACTTTTGCTTCTGAGTATTCAATACAGAATTATCGAAATTCAAAACCTAGGCCATATAGTACACTTAACGCTTGATAAAATAAATTAGTTTCAATTAAACTAGATTTAGTCC